AGAAGGAAACTTAAAAATAAATACCTAGACTTGCAGACTCATGAATCCAATGGTGGTGGGGGAAAACGGCAGTTGTTTGCTGACCAATCCCATTGGCCCAACCATAAACTCAGTATTCATGGCCGGTATCGCAAACCCTTAACTCGCCCAGCTGTTTAGTTTTCAACATGAAGCTTTTCAATTTAATTTTCCTTTTCCATCTCTCCAAATTCCATCTCTAGCTCTTTCAGTGGAATAGGATTCCGTCAGATAGAATATTTAATAACATATTTATACATAACACTAATAACATATTTCATTTCATACATAGTCAGAGCAACGGTCACTGTGAACATCAGATTCAATTACATTCATTCATGTTTATAACTATTTATTTGTATATGTATAAATGTAGCTAAATCTTATACACATATATTCTTAAAATATAATTCTTAATTATACAGTATATTATTCATAAAACATACTGAATCACTTCTAAGCATTGCCACAATAAAGATTTCCTTGCTCACCTGTTATTTAGATATTTCAAATAAACTTAATCCTCTCACTAGTCTATAATTTAGGCCAATCGAAAATATTTTACCGCAGTAGGAATATTTATATCATTTAATTGATTAATAAATTCCTTGTTAGACTTAAAATACTTCGTTATGATTTTTTTCAGACAGTTAAATTCAGACAGTGTGAGGCGAATGACTATGAAAGAAAATTAATTTCATTTAATTCTACCTTATTAAGAATATGATGGGTATATTTGGACTTTGACCTTGTTACATATTTAATGATTTTTTTTTAATATTTCACATTTTGCCTATGGTCCTTTGCTGGTCCACCCCACTATATACCGTATAAATTAACAACATAACTACTGACAATGAGACATTGTTAGTGTGTGGCTATATATATATTTTAGTGGCTATATATAGTGAGGCCAGCATAGCTACCTCACCATTTTCATTGGTTCCACATTTACTTATATCTCAAGGTCTACCACTACTAATAATACTGATTTACTGATTCTCATCTTTCTTCTATCTTAGAGCCAAATCGAACGAGCCGTATCTGAAATATCGGCTTGTCTTAGAAATTACATTTCCGCGTGTACAACCAGAAGTACTGTACGATATTCAATAAAATGGAAACAGCAGCATTAGATTTGCAATTCTTACCTTTTTTTTCAACTTTAAGCCACATCGATTGAGGCCTTTCTGAAATATTAACGTATCTTAAAAAATACATTAGCTCATGCGAAAACCGAAATTGCTATATGGAATTCAATGAAATTTATTTGAGACCATCTAGGTACCAACTCGCACAACCTTTGAAAAAATAATGAAAATAGGATAAACGGAAGTAGGTGTTATGCCCGTGTCATATATTTGACTACATACAGACAAACAGACGGACAGACACCGAGCCAAATTTGATCCTTGATTTCTGAAACGTAAAACGATTCTGAGTATAATTGTTTTTAACCTCTCGCGAGCATACAAAGCTTTCCTATCTTCGGTAGTGAGGAAGCAATAGTAAATCTTCAACTGTTGATCGATGGTTGACTGTAGGGAATAATGAAGAGAAGGATAGTCAGTCATAAAAAAAATGGCAAAAATAAATAATAATATTTATTTTAACATTTGCCGATGTTTCGACCCGAAGTTCAGGCCTTCGTGAGTGCTCAGAAAAGAAACGAATAACAATAGGTATGAGAAACATAACTTATCTACACTGTTTATGTTTCTCATACCTATTGTTATCTGGTTCTTTTCTCAACCCTGATGAAGGCCTAAACGTCGGATCGAAACGTCGGCAAATGTTAAAATAAATATTATTATTTATTTTTGCCATTTTTATTATGGCTGATCGTCCCAACCATCCTTATCTTCAATAATAAATTTTATTCATGTTTCATAGGCGCAAGTTAATCTCAAATATTATTAAACTTCATTCTACTTATGCTACTTATGGTGACGATACATTAAAAAAAATCCATATCCTACATAAACCTCCCTAACGTTATTACATCGCACAAATAAATTACATAACTTGTATAAATTACGGAAAACTCAGCTAATCCACAATAAATTGAAACACATTACATTTACTCTTTGAAGTGAATTGAACTCAAGCGTCCTTCGTACACTATCTGTAGAAATTAAATACACCTACATAATTACTAAAACCTAGATAGGCATAGTTTTCACAGATATGCGGTATAGCTAAAAGACCCATTTACAAAATCTTTTTCTTCCTAATCAAAGAAATTGTGATTAAACAATTTTATACTAATTTACATGAACATACTAATAATAGATATGACTTCAGCTGATATGCCCATCAATACTAGAAGGACCTAAAGCTAAAAGATATATTTTTTTTTATTTGTTTAATATTTCAAAAATATTAAAACATGGTTCTGTTCTATTGAGGTTGCTCAAAGATTTAAAAATATGACAAAAAGACACAATATTAAAATTAATTTAATATATTTCTGGGTAAAATAGGTGTATACATTATCAAAATTAATACATCATCAAAGAGTTTAACATTAGAAACTTGTATTTCGATGATTGGTAAAATACACTAATTAGTATTAGCTATCACGACAGATGTGGGTACCGCATTCATGTTTTATAATGGTTCCTATATGTATAGGTATATGGGCAGAATTGCGTACTAATTGCACAGTAATTAATTAATAATGCCCATGCAGAATATTAATAATGCTGACATTGATGTGGATATCAACTTACCTTAGGTCAACTGACAATGTCTAATTTTGAGGCCGTGCATAATTTATTTCTAAAATTTATCCTCGTACCCGATTAGGAAGTTACGAAACTAACCTTTGTTTTAAATTATTATGTTTCACTTTTAATTTGATGATACAAAATATCGTTTTTTGGTAACACCAAGTTTATGAAGTTATTGAATTTACACAGCTATATTCCTGAAATTTGGGGTTTTCTTGTTGTAGTCATTGACGAAGGCTTTCCATTTTAATTGGTGGGAAAGGGCGATGTTTTCATAGTTGTATTTATTTTTATTTTTATTTTTTATGTGTATATGGATATACTTCAAAATATCTGAACAAAACAATTGGGTATGTTACATGTTTGTAAACATTTAACCTGTGGGGAGAGGAGTTGGGAGGAGAGACAGCCTCCATAACATAGGTACATTTCTAAAAATTTTCCAGCTAAAAATAAATAATGTTAAACACTGAAAAAATGTTTTTAATTTCTTATTTTGAAAACTTTAAAATAAAAATGCAACGTTTTCACAATCTGAGTAGTTATGCAAAAATGTCTATAAAATACATTCTCTATAAAATATATTTATATTTTTATTTAGCAAATATATTATTGTCAACTATGCTGCAGGTCATGTGATAAGAAAATCACTTGAAAATGCATATGTGTAGATGAGGATAAATCAATCTTAAAATTTTCCTGTTTAATTTATTTTTATTTATTGTACATAGAGTGTGGATTTGATCTCTGAAAACTTTTATAAATGCTCTTTGTGGCAGATTGTAATATTTCTCAGTAAAAAAATTCTAAATTTAAAAAAAAATTCTAGGATATGTTGTCACATGATTATCTCTGGAAATAAATGAAAATTTAAATAATAGTAACATTTAGCTCGTGATGAAATAGTTATTTATAGGTCTTAGCCAATCCAGCTAGTCGACTTTTCTTCTTTTGGCTTAGATATTCTGTTCATTCATGTGGTTTATTTGATATTAATTTTATACTATAAATATTGAGGGGGGACGACGATATTATTACCCTTCAATATTTTTATTGGAGGACCTCATCCTCCTTAAAATCTGCTCGTATGGTTATAGTAATAGAATAGAGTTTATCTTATAAGTCTATCTGATTTTCCATACGTAATGGGTTGACTGCTGCAAGTTTTGCACTTTAAGTCGATAGGGATAGCGCAAGTATACATTTTAGAAATTATAATGATGATGAAATTAAAAAAATATTTTATTATTCTGGGACCGTTTTCACTTTAGAACAAATTATAAGTACAGATTGTATATCTGTGTGATCACAATTAGATTATGTATTTACAATAAGAGCTGATTAAAAATAAAAATCCTGAAGAAGAGTAAGAAAAGAACAAGAAAATTTTACACATATATATATATATATATATATATATATATATATATATATATATATTATATATATATATATATATATATATATATATATATATATATATATAATAAACTAAAATAACCTAAATAAATTGTGGTACTCTCTGGAGATGCTTAGATATTTCTCTTAGGTATATTCCTTAATCAATCGGATTGAGAAAGGAGTAGGTATTTGAAGAGGAGAGGTTTGAAAGAGGAAACTGATTGTGCGTGTCGAATATCAGCAGGGATGGAATTCCATATGGAGGCGGCTTGAATTGCAACGGATTTGTCAAACGCAGCAGTTCGGTGGAGAGGGGAATAGAGGGCGAAAGTACTAGATCTAGTAGGATGGGATTGGATGGAGTATTTGAATTATAAACTGTGAAAAATAAAGGAGGGTTGATGAGTTCTAATGATCTGGTACTGAAAGGTGGCTAGGAAGTACTGAGGGCGATAGGATGGGTATAGCCACCTCAACTCGGAGTAATACTGGATAATATGCGTATCTCTTGAGATTCCGAAAATAAATCGCAATAAGCAATTCATTAGGAGTTTAAGTTTGGCCTCGAAATCGAGATTGATGGTAGCTATTACACCGATACTATTACGGTTATTTTATTTTTAGTAATTACGAATCTTTCTTAGGTTTAAGTTTCGATGTTTGTTATTTACATATAGGTTTCAGAAATATGCATCTTTTCTAACTATTTTTGTAAAAAATAGAATACGATCATCTAATCGGTAGCTACATAATCCATATATTCGGTAGATTCATTGAGGTTGTGCACTCAGTCCTCTTAAGTACTCTCAAGAAGAGTAGATTGACTGAATGCTCTCTCCCACGAAGCAGATCATGTCCCGGCTGCGAGGGATGAAGAGGGAAGGGAGGGACCGCTCGAGGTCGCTGTGCGTGGAGAAGTTGGCGACCGCCCTCATCCAGCCCGGGGGGTTCTCCCCCTCCTGCATCGTGGCCAGGGAACTGCACCCCCTCCACAGGCGCCGGGCCTCCTCAGCCATGTGAGTAATATATATAAATATAGATATATATATAGCAATATCATTATTTTATCTCAATTTGTTTATATTGATAAGAAAAAAAATGTGCTGTTCTTTGATCAGACCTTTGGAGAGAAGGACCACCATAAGTTAGCCCGATGAAGGTATGATCAAAGACCGAAACCGGTTGCGCAGAAATAAAAAACAATATATACAGAAAGATTACGTCTTTTTTATTTAAAGATAATGGTCTGAAGATGGGATATAAAATCCCGAAACATCACATATGAGTAAAGAAAATGAATTTTGAGTGAGAAAAACAATCAGATCTTCGTATACTCCATTACAAAATAATCTCCCTCAGGACTAAAGAATAAGACAAAAATAATATTACGGTAATAAAAACATAACAGTATGTCTAGCAAAACATTGTTTTTTAAACAAATAAGTATATAAAATGTAAAAATAAATTAACTAAATAATTCTTACTAATAAAAAAACTAATAAAAAAGAAGTATGAAAAAAAGGGCTAAGTATAACTAAGGTGATTTTTTTCGATTAATAAAAAATAATATAAACAAAATAAGCAATACGATTTAGTAACAAAATAATGAAATATTGTGTGGAACAAGAAATAAAAATTAAAAGTAAATAAATAATAATTAACAAATATAAACAGTAGCTTAACAATTATCAGTGGTTACTGGTTAGAACAACAACAATAAGTGAGCTAGTGCTATTTGGCTTTCGGTGGGAGAGGAAGTGATTACATGGGATGTGATAACCTGAGTATAAACAGAGAAGGTTGTGAGAACACACAAGGAAAATACGAATGAGAATGCAAATTTTACTCACTGATTTTAATAGTGAATAGAAATAAATATTAAAATATACATAAATACGCCATATTATATATATATATATATATATATATTTATTGACTAAAAAATATAATATAATATTTGAGTACAATGCATTATACTGATAAAAATGTAATAAATAAAAGGAAATCAATACATGTAGTAAACATTAAATTGTAATCATAATGTGATCAATACATAATAAATGATTACTGGTTTGATGAATATTAAAATAAATGTAAAATAGGAATGGATCTTCATTTGACATGTAAGTTAAAATACAACCGAAATTTCTGCTGACGGAAATGTAAAAAAACAAAAATATTTTTGGTCTATTAAAAATAATTCATGTCTGAACCTGTTTCAACAGCGAGTCTATCAACGCCCTGATGTAGACCTGCAATGTGAGTCGAAACATCGGCGAACAAATAAAAATACTATTTTTTTAAAAATTTAGTATTTATTTGACCGCACTGTCCGACCAACTCCATCTCACAAATATTTTAGAATTTACCACGGAAACCCACCTCCAAATTAGGCTTATTATTTTTCAGTTCACTGTGATGAGCTCTGTGATATATGTCCTCTTTTTATCCTTTCTAATGATAGTTTTTTGGTGTCTACTGTACAATTCTAAGTGGTCAGATGCAAGCAACACTTATCTTTCATTCTTTAAATCTCCTTTTCTATTGTAAGAACTAAAAAGTTTACTAAAGTAATCCATCATGATTCTTTCTCCTCTCCTTTTTTATTATAGTATTACGCAAATAAGTACTAATAATAAACTATAAGAAATGAACGCGAGGTCGGTTAATTATCAATGGTACAGCCACGCTTATACCTAAGCACGCACCTTATTTACTTTTGTTTTAGGCCACGCGACCTTTTGTGAAGAAAATTACGAAATGAAACCTTGTAAATAAATTATATTAAATACCCACTAATTAACATAAATATATTACAAGTTTACTCTTGTGTAATGATTTGTATCCCTCATTATTCATATTCTATACAGATTTCATTTATATGAACCTTCAAGTATCTTCAATTATGTTTTAGCAAGTTTAAAAAAAAAAATAAATTGCCCAATCATTACGTATTATGAAAATTGTCAAATAAATAAAACATATAATTAAAAACAATTATCTAATGTTGATATTTTGTATGTACGAATTCCTTGCATCGAAAATTTCTCTATATGCTTAGAACTTTAAATGTTTATTATTAACTTTGAAAAATATTCTGTATATAGTATATAATTTCTAAATATCGAATAAAAAACATAAAATGGAAATTTCTTCAAAAAGACCCTTACTCATATTTATTTAAATGTTTTATTATTAATTAATAAAAAAATACGTTTCACAAAGCATTACAAAATGTTTAATTAAAATTAGCTTTGTCTTTACTTTTAAAATACCCCCACACGAAAATCGTATTTTGTATAAACAAATGTTCGCCTCAATAAAAGATTCATAAGAAGGGAAATACGAGTACGGTAATTATCATTTCTGCTTCATATAAAAAATTTCAAGAAAGAAATGTTTTTCTTTTGGTGTGGGAGGGAGGTAATAACGTCATTGTCCGGGGATACCAAATTTCTAAGTCCGACACCGCATTTAATAATTTGCAATATTGTTAATAAGCCTAAATCGGCACTACTGTTATGAATTTTAACAAAAAGAGAAGACAAATAATAATATAAATAAATGCTCAGCAGTGTGTAGACAGATCACAATAGAATGAGAATGAAAAATATCACAAAATGTCTTATCGGAGTTTCAGCACCTCTACAGCTTTTGCAAATTGAGTTAAAGGGTTAGCAAATAATGAATAAATGAATTGTATTGATAGTGCTAAACATGTTTGTAGTGTTTTGTTTTTTCGCATCTCCAATTTTATTCGATAAATTCTTTTCCGAAACAGTTTATAAAATGTTGAAAAAAATAGAGTAAGAGAAGAATTTAAGGAGTTGAATAAATTTTATTTTCAAAAACAAAAATACTGAAAATATTGGTGGCTGAGCTCTACTGTTTTCGAGTTAAAAATTTCTTTAGGCGCATTTTGTACTTTTTTTGTAGAGAGTAAATTAGATTGAGGAGTCAGACTTCGATGTGTAACGCTCTTTGTAATGAGAAATTAATCAAAATTGTATTTTTATGTGACACCAAGTCAGAGAGTTGGAATAGGGAAAACTATAATATCACAAAATTTTAATAATATGGAGAATTCAGAAGCTGTTTTGCGGCAGTAACTGTGGATATTTCTTTAATTAGCCATGGAAATAATAAATAAGTACTTATGTGTTTCTATTCGATTTTCTTTTTCTTTTGATTGTTTTGTCAAATTAATGACCCCCGTTACAGATGTTATAATAAAAAAATGAGGGAGTTTTTAGTAGATATTTATTAAATAGATTTCATCAGAACAGTATTCATCAAATTATTTTAGTTATTATAAACCTACTGCATAATTTTATAATATGATACACATGACTATTAGTCAGAGCAAAGCTTATTGCAGTAAGTTCTTCTGTCGATTTCGCTAAAAAGCCTATCTGAAGAATTACTTTTATTCATAGCAGCACAAACAAACGACACATTAGAATCATTTTTTAAACATTTAAGACTATTTATACCACTAATCTAAGCCCAATTACTGTTTGTTTTTCATTTAACGGAACTTTTTTAAGAACTTGAATAAATAATAGTTAAACATTTACCATAAATCTGGAACTTTAATTGTATGTAACACAACTGTAATTGTATGTATTGTAAATGTTATAATGTTTTGAATATAGAGAAAAAAGTAGTTTATACACAATTATAATTAAAAATTGTAAATTTTAAATATTACTACCTTGTGTGTATGGAACAAAAAAAAAATTTATATTATTAATCTCGCCTTGTTGATGTGTTCCATCGTGTGGTATAAAGCACCCACCGTACGGTTTTATGTTACGTCTCAAATAATAATTATAAAAAGAAATATTACCTTATCCTTAAATTAAAGAACAATCATTAAATTGTTAAACCTGAAAACAAAACGTTTTCAGTATTTTATGAAGGAATGTAGTTGAATAAACAGTTCTTATCCAAGGGGCTTAATTTATTGAAATTGTGGTTGAGTTGCTCAAAACTGATGACCAACTTTTCCCCCTCGCTAAACTTTTAACTACTCCTTGAAATATTAGACCGCAACATGAAAAGCCAGAATTATCCCTTACAACTCAATAAAAATTCAAATTACATTCCCTGGTAACCATAATGTCAGTATTTCAACGCATGGATCCACAGTAATGTCGTGGAATGGCTTTTCTGTAAGAAACAGGAACTTTTATTATTTTTGTCGGCTTTAATTTTTTTTTCATTTGATCTTTTTATTGAGAAATAATGCATTTTTCTACGCTTAAGGACACTGAGTACTAAAGCTGAGTGAGGTATATTCATACCATATACAATACAATAAAAAATAAAATAAATAAATAAAAAATACATAACCCAGGAAATGTAACTTGAAGTTAAACTTAAATAAAATACAGAAATTCCTAGCAAAATTAAATAAATTATAAGTAAAAGAAATAAATTGATTTAAAAAAAATAGATTAAAAAGACACATTAAAACATTCATACTTCATTATAATATTTACAGTAAGCCAAGAGAGCCTTTCCCCCTCTTGTGAATGACAAAGCGAGACTCTAAGAGATCCCAGCGCTTCTCTCACAGCAGCGTCACCGGCATTAGAGTTCATTGAAGACTGGTAGAGGGCGCTAAAGCGCCACACTCATGACTTGAGTGGAGAAGCTGGCCATTGCCAGAGCTCCAATGACGTCTTTACAAAAGAGCTCAACCGCTTTATATTACTTTTATGTTATCAATTTCTAGTTGGTAAGTATAGTATATAATTGAGGAGGTTAATGACGATAGTAGAATAAATGGATTTGTCAATTTACATTCGTAATATATACCTACATACGAGTATAATATCACATATAATTGTCAGAGAGATGTTTAAAATCGAATCGACGCCACGGAATAGTATTAAGAAAATTCGAATGTATCAGAAACTATCACACAGGTTCAATCAAATATAAAAATTATATGATTTATATGAAAATAAATCCAATTATATTTTATCGCCAGTAAAATGGTCTGAAGTTA